TAGGTTCTCTCTTGAAAGGAGATCTGAACAGTGCACTCCCATAGCAGACACAGGTGCCATTAATAAAAGTACTGGCTTCACGTAATGAGAGAAAAGACTCAAAAATGGTTGCCTGCAGAGAACAAGAAACGGGTGGAGTTAAGCAAGAGATTGATGTTTCCCTAATAAGCCTTTTGAATGATCTGCCTCTTACATATTATATATATAAGGAAGAGGACTTGCAACAGAGATTGCTATCTGGATTCCAGACACTCCTATCTTTGCTGTTTAGGCACACTGCTTCCCCCACTTCTCCTGCAGTTAAGTGCAGCAATAGGACTGAGTTCTAGCCAATAGAAGTGAAAAGAAAAGTGGTGTGTGCCACTAACAAGCAGCACTCATAAAGTCTGCCACAGACAATCCTACATTCCATTTACCAGCTGGAAATGAAGGATTCCAAAGCTTTCCACGCCACCAGATGGAGAGCGGGCATCTGAATCGTCGCAAGCAAGGCCACCCGGCAAACAACTACTTTGGGTTATTCTGTGTCTAAAGTTTCATGTTTTATTATTTTAAGCTGATCACATGTGGAAATTTAACTATTACAGCAGCTAGCGTTAACCTAAAAATGGTGGTGCAAGATAAAGACGTGTACATATACCACAAGTAAAGATGCGTAGATCTTTACATCGTATCAGAGACACCTTTTCCCTTCAAATTCTTTTTCCTAAAGCTTGAGACTCACATCTTCAATATCTATTAATTTATTAAGATTCGGCAAATACCATAAATTGAGCAAACTCATGATGTTAAACTAACTTCTCTGTATTTCCCAATTCGACTAACGGTGCCCCCATTCCCACAAACAGAACCTACATTTGACGGTTCGCTTCAATTCTCACCTTTACAACAATTCTCGTATCAAATTGGTAAGTTCTGTTAACCTGCTTTGTTTATGTGTCTTTGGAAGCATCCCATTCTTCACCTTCTATTACCACCATCCTGGAGTAAGTGCAGAGCTTCGCGTCTACAGCACCAAAATCGACTTCTAACAGCATACAATCTACTTAACCTGCAGCCTCTCCCCATATCATTTTTGCAAATTGCCACCGTCACTGTCTTCAAAGCATTTTGGGGATTACAGTAGCAATTATACGATGAAAAAAACGGAATAAGAAGATTCCAGTTTGAAATATGTTTATTTACTAGAGTGATCTTGGGAAGGTGACTTGGACAGTCTGAATCTTAATTCCCTCACTTGTTAAATCGCATAATATCTATTCACAGGATTGTTGCAAAGATTTAATGAGGTAACTTGTAAATGGTGATAGCAAAGCACCTGTCTCCTAAGAGTGCTTAATACATATTGAATGAATAAATACACCTCTTCCCCCTTACTTCGCTAGTCTCCTGCTTACGAGTTCTTCTCTTCTCCACACAACACGATCAAATGCTATTGCTCCAAGGCAAGCTCTGACCTGTTTTGTGACCTCTCCTCGTCCAATTCCACCTTGTGGAAATCTTGATCCGTTATCTTATATTGTGAGTTCGCTGTTTTTGTTTCTCATGTGTAATCATTTTCTTTAAGTAGATTGCAAATGACGAGGGACCTACTTTTTACAAAATATCAGGTGCTTCTTAGTGTTATTTGCAGCTGTGGTTGTTTTTAATTTTCATTTGTTTTCTTTGGCCTGTCCAGAATTGCTTCCTTCCTTTTTCATAAGTGATATTCTGACTTTCTTCTGGACATAAACCACTCTGACACCTCTAATCCCTGTAGATCATCAGCTCCACATGACTCCACCTGCTCTCTCCAAGGGCGAGCACAGGACTAAGTACTTGCCAATCCGAGTAATTCATTCTCCTGCCCAACGTGATTCAGATAGGGCTGTGAGCCTAGCAAGGCCCCAGGATTTCTGCTGGAACAACTGAAGGGCAGTCATTATCTCATAGGAAGTACAAGTGGAGTTATATTAACTAGAGCAATATTTTAAAAGACATAGTTTGTGGGCCGGCCCCATGGCTTAGCGGTTAAGTGCGCGCGCTCCGCTGCAGCGGCCCAGGTTCGGATCCCGGGCGTGCACCGACGCACCGCTTCTCCGGCCATGCTGAGGCCGCGTCCCAGACACCGCAACTAGAAGGACGTGTAGCTATGACCTACAACTATCTGCTGGGGCTTTGGGGGAAAAAATAAATAAATAAAATTAAAAAAAAAAATAATAAGAGCAGACTGAGTCTTTCACTGGCTCTTCCCTTCCTTTAAAAAAAAAAAAAAAAAAGACAAGTTTGTGAATTAACCCACTTGGAAGGAAAATAGGGTCAAGTGAAGAAGACACAGAATAAAAGACTTTACTCCTGGATCTATCTGTGCCTGATCTCTCAGCTAGGAAGTTCATCTCCAGACTTTTCAGTTGCATAGGCTAAAAATTTTCCTTTTTTCCTTAAGCGAATTTATTTGGTTTTTGTCACTTGTAATCAAAAGAGAACTGCCTAATACAGTTGTGTTCTTTAACCATGAAGATAACATTTACTAATTATTTTCTAGCTTATTGATGATGAGATTTAGACCAAAGAAAAATGTGGATTACATAACCTGAATCCCTCCTCACTAATGGAGAAAAAAGAAACAGAATCACATTCTTTGTGACGTAAATAAATTTCATTATTTTGCTGTTTAAATAAGCACATACTTTCATAATATGTAAAAATGCTTCAAAGACCACTTCTGTATGCCAATCTGTAAAAAATATTTTCATTATGTTTATTATAAAAATATAAATGTTTCCACTACAAATCATTTTACATTAGTAACAGGCCATCTACATTGTACAAAGTAAACTAAATGAGTAATGTTTTGAAAATACAAGTTTAAAGTAAATATGTATTGCCAATCTTATCACATTTATACATGGCTTAATTGATACTTAGTACAGCATGAACTGGGTGAGTTACCAGAAATAAATAATATACGTAAATCAAATTAAAGATACAAAACAGATCATATGGCACATAACATTGTGAAGGAGTTGCGGTTCTGTGTTGATTGAGAGTCAATGCAGTTCCTGTACAAAGAGATGGCCATAAGAATCCTAGTACCTCTACTCCACGGCTAAGAATCGTATACTGTTATGTTTACATATGTACAGGGTAAAAATCGTGAAGTAAATTTATAAGAGGTCACATAGAAAAATAGGGAAAATATGAGAGCAATAGACTGTGTATACCACCTCTACTTCAAATGGAAACCAGAGCCAAAGTAAGTGAAATAGATTCAATGATCCTCAACTTCTGTTAGTTCATGAAATGCACAGATTTTACTGAATACGTTCAGAATAGTATCTAAGAAAGTAAATGCTAGTCTGGGAAAAATGAGATTGGAGCCAGATTCAGATCTCAAACTAACATCCCACCACACAAAATGTTTGCTTAAAAAATGTTTTCTAGCTGCTTCTACCAGGCTTAAGTGAAATTTGTAATTAACTTCATAATCACATATATCTTTTTAAAAAGTTCATGCTCTTATATATCCAATATAGAATTCTAGTAAGATTATTTGACTATAAGGAATATTGCAGAAATTTAAGAAATAATCTCCTATTTGGAAGAACACAACCTAGGCTTTATTACACTAAATTTACAACAGATTAGCACTTGTGAATTTTGATCTGTGATTGTAAGCTGGATAGTGTGCCACTTTGCATAAGAACATAAAGGTTGCAGTATTTTTTATCCATTCTATTCTTGTGACATATGCATTTCTTATTCCCATACCATGATCATATCAGCATTAGAAAGAATACAGATAGAGCTAAAATGTTGCTTCACAATATATTAGTGGCTAGATCTCCACCAGGTACTTCTTTTCAAATATTATTGAATATGCTCATATTTGACCTTTATAGAATATTAAGTCTAAATTCCTGCAATGACAGATCTCTCTACTGCCTACAGATTTTGAGTCATTTGCTAGATAACCAGCAATTTTGAAAATGATATGCTCAACAAATGCAAAGAAGTTCAGTGCTTCTAATTTATACACCAAAATTATAACAGGTGCATTTCAGTGGAAGACTCTTAAAGATAATAACACCTGGTATTGATTATCACAATGTTTAATTAATTTAACTAAACCCCAGTGATGCAGGTGAGTAGTTCAGTTATCATCATTCCCTACAAACAGCTCAACAAGTTTAAGCAAAGATATTAAGTGACATTTCAAAGCCAGTCAGCAAGTGATTTTTTGACTCATGCATTGGCCTATAGGCTTTGTTGCCAATTAATGCAGCAATCTATACAGGATTCCAATTCTTTCCAGTGTAGTTATTCTCTATTCTGGAGCTCTAAAGAGCTTCTTTACCAATGGAGCAAGGTGATGGTCTCCTAAACACCAGAGCAGGGCAGGTATGTCATTGAGAATCCATTACATACAGGCCAGGATATTACACCAAATTAGGAGCATACAGTTTCTAATAAATGGAGAGACAAAAATGGATGTGATAATCCAGACTGCGAGAGATTTGGTTAGTGTATGAACAGAGAAAGGGTTTGGTTTCTTTCTTTTCATATATATATAGTTATACATACATATACGTGGCTGCTTCAAAAAATCTGGAAAGAAACCCATCATTGTCTACATCTAGTTTATCATGTTTCCTACTGCTGACAATTTGAGAGAGCATCTGGCACTTGGCTGTAACAAATCCAAATTAAAATATCAAGGCATAAATAGAAAACAATAAAAACAATTCAAAAGAAAATAAATATGTACTTTTCTTCAAAATTAAGACAATTTTTACATGATAATACTGAAGGAAGCTAACAAAAATGTGCAGTACTTAAAAGAACTACAAACTTCATTTCTCCATGCTTTTAACAGATAAAAGAGAATAACAGAATGAAAAGGCAGTAAATATGGCCAGATACTTTGAGGTATAAATTCCTCGATTTTGCTTGCTTTCAAAGAAACAAAATACCTGTTACAGATTTATTCTGTGTATAAAAATATCACAAGTCTTTTCTTTAGTGGCTATTAGTAAAAAGAGCCACCATGTTCATTTTGTTATTTCACTTATTTTGCTTTATGACAGTCAGTTTATGATCAATGGCTCTATGCTAGTTCTTCATCACTTTGCGCTGAAGAATTTTAATTTAATTCAGCAACTAATATAAAAAAGCAATTACAAAACAAAATACACCCACCCACCAATCCACTAAATGATAGGGGAAAATAAAGAGTTTTTCAATTCCATTTTAAGGCATTTGTACTCATATATGAGTGTCTCATTGGGCTTGGAACTGCCCCCAGTATCTCCAGTATCATCATCCACCTTCAGAGTAACACTACATCTTCCACAGCCACCACTTCCATCCAGAAATAGCACTTTACACTGGAACTGGACCATTCTTTGATTGTGTTTCAAGAGCTTTAATGCTACTGATGATCTTCTTTTGTGGCCCAACCACAGTGACACCAACCTTTTTCATGTCACTGTAAAAACAGAAGAAAATGTCTGGTGAGAATCATGGCTTCTTGAATAGTATGTAAGCAGAGATTTTCAATTAGCAAAGCTTGCACAATAATATATCCCAGTCCTTTGGACGTACTTTTCTGATTTTTGCATCATCCATGTATTATATCCTGGCCATTCTTCTCGTGGAAGAATATAGATGGGGTAGTGGGCTGAACAGTGCCCCCTCAAAATTTCTGTCCATCTGGAACCTCACCAGGTGACCTTATTTGGAAATAGGGTCTTTGCAGATGTAATTAAGGCAAGGATCAAGATGAGATCATACTAGATTAGGGTGGGCACTAAATCCAATGAGACTATCCTTATTAGAGACAGAAAAGGACATACAGTGACACAGAGAAGGCCATGTGAAGACGAAGGCAGGGACTGCAGTGATGCTGCCATAGCCAATGAACACCAGGATCCACCAAAAGCTAGAAGAGGCAAAGAAGGCTTCACCCCTACAGACTCTGGAGCAAGAATAGCCCCGCCAACACCTCGATTTCCAACTTTTGGCCTCCAGCATTGTGAGAAAATTAATTTCTGTTGCTTAAGCCAGTAAGTTTGTGGTAATTTGTTATGGCAGCCCTAGGAAACTACTACAGATGGTCACACATTCTTTGTGGAGCATTATCCCAATCCCTTGAATCTGGGCCAGCTCAGGGACTGCTTTGACTGACAGAGTATGTAGAAGTGACATTCTTCAGTTTTTTGCACTCAGGTCTTAAGAAACTGCTAGATTCCACTTCTTATCTTTTGAGACACCCTCTCTGGGCCCCAGAGCTGCCGTATAAGGAGTCTGACGACCCTGAGACTATGACACTGGGGAGGCCATGTGCAGGCACTTGGTCTACAGTCCCAGCTCCATCTCCATCTGCACCAGGGCACACACAGACGACGCCCTCTCAAGCCCTCTGGACTGGACCAGAGTCAGGTTATGAATACTTCAGTCAACACCGACACGAGCAGAAGAATCACACGCCTGAGCTCTGCCCAAACTCACAGCCCACGATGTTGTGATATATAATAAAAGGGTTCTTGTTTAGCCTTTAAATTTGAGGTAGTTTGCTGTAAAGCCACAGGTTACTGGAACAATTTCTTTCAAGTATAAAGTTCTTTCAACATAGAAAAAAATGACAAGGAAATATCCTTATTTATCAAAATTATTACATTTAAAATAATTTAAACTCAGAAACCAGGCATTAAAATAAAGATTATATGAACACAAAGAATTTCATTTGGGGGAAAAAAAGAGACTTAGCTAAACACGTGCAAATGATTAATTAAATATTCTTGAGTCAAGTAATCAGTTCATATATTCACCTCTTTCAGGTCCTGACTCCAATATCGCCCCTCATGAGACCATCCCTGACCTCCTATTCAATACTGTAAAACCTCTCTGCACTCATACCTGCACTTCCCATCTTCTTTCCTTGCTTTATTTTCTTCCAAGCCATTTATCACCATCCAGCATATTGCCTTTATTTCTCACTTCTTTTCTTTATTCCCTATCTTGTCCCACAAGAAGGTGAATTCCAATATGAACAAGGATTCTTATCCGTTTTGTACTCTGCTTATCAACCACACCCTAAACAATGGCTACTGTTTAGTAGGGGCTGAATATGTACTTACTAAAGAATAAATCAATAGTCCAAAGTATGTTTATCTGGGGAATTGACAGAGGAGTAAAGTATCACTTGGCAAGGAGCAGCAGGCAAATTGAAAATGGCAAGAAGAAAAAGCACACATGTGCAAACAGGCACACACATACCAACAGAGAAGGGGCTTCTTTACGGTGAGCATAAAGGAAAGAACAAAAAAATTCGAGTTCAATTAAAGAGAAATGGAGTAATTGATTTCTTAAGAAGTGAGTTCCTAAGCAATAAAGAGGTGCAAGCAGACAACGGGAAACCACTCGAGAAGCAGTTTACAAGTTGTTTAAGCAGCCGTTGCATAAAATTAACCAAGACTGTTTGCATTCCTATCACTTGGGCTGAAAATGAAACTCCTGACGACCTGCAAGTTGCCTCCCTGCTGCCATCACAGGCTGGTAAACCCCCTACGGACGATCTGTGTCTGCCTGAGCGCCCTCCCGTCGTCCTCTTGAGCTGCCTCCCTTCACGAGGAAGGCTAGTGGGCGGTACGGTGACACCAGGCTTGCTGCTCTCAGTGGAACCATGGACAACGAAAGCTTTCATTAGAGTAGCGTAGGCTACTTACCCTGATCCCTGCTTTTGAGATCGTGTGTTCTATGGGATTTTGACTCTTTATATACCATGGATCTATCTTTAAAATGAAGAAGAAACATTTCCCTACTTGTCCACAAACTATAAAAAAGTCAGTTTATGAATCTAGAGCTAGAAAACAGGGCAGATAAAATATATGTGTACAAATCAATAGATCCTCATTCTTTTTGTATTTCTTCTTTCATCTTTCTTCCCATTCTATATCATATCTTTTATGACTCACAAATTTTTTTCTCTGTGTTTTCCTTTTCTCCTTCTTTACAATCTTAAAAAACAAAATTATAATTATGGAAAGCAGAAAGAAAGAATATTTTTAAGGTAGCATACTAACTTCCTGAGCTCTTTGAGAAATGTAAGCACAGTGATAGTAATACATGCTGTGAGGCTTGGCCCTGATCTCCCCTCTGAAACTGAAGCACCCATACTCCAGTGGATGGAAAAAATCAGATGCAGAGAGTTCACAGACCAATTTGGGACAAGTCTGAAGGGCTAGCCCAGCTCTAGGACTCTTGTTCCAATAGGAAGGGCTGAGTCCTGTCCCTCAGCCAACAACCCCCTGATGACTCCTTTACAGATGTATGTCCTGAGCTCCTCAAGAGCTCACTCCTCAAGAAATCTTCTGCAGAAACTGTTTTAGATTCTGTGTCTGGGAACCCAATATAAGCAAATACATACATAATTGTGTTTACATTTAATGCAAAGGATTATACTGGAGAAGAGAATTAAAGTAATTATCCCTATAGGTTATACCTTAGTGTGGGTTTTTATGTGCCCTCTACTCTCTGCAGCCCCTCCAGAATGCCTTCTACCCACCGCCCTGCCATGTCCAAAATAGTTCCAAACCTCTCGCTGCGGGAGCCCCAGTACCACTCCCCATATGCTCACATTGTCGTCACTACCTCCTTCAGAAGAGCAGCAGCTCAGGATGGAGGCCAGAGGTTTATAAGCTATCTGGTACTTCAAAAACAAAGGGATAGGGATAACACTTGGAACATGGCATCCAAGGGAGCAGGATAATGGCATGTAACAGATAATCCGCCTAATATTCATCCACACACTTACTTCTCTCTGCGGTTTCTAGGCTCCCTCGCCCTTTCTCCTTCTCTCTTCCTTTCTCACATTAACTTTCCTAAATCCATCTTACACTAGGAAATAATATTTTTAAAAATATGTTAATTTTACTGAATAAAACACATTTTTTGGACTTTTGAAAATTAGATGAGTTGAGTAGCTTGCATGTAAACAAAATCCCTAAACTAACTGAAATAAATTAATATTTATTTCAGTATGAAACTCGATTGACTTTTTCCTGTGACTCGATAGTCTGGATAGAAAAAAAAAAGAAATTCAGCATCCTTTTTTAGGTATTTCTGTCTTACTCTAGGAGAATCTCTAGAGTTATTCGGTCAAGGGAATCATTTCTGAATTGAATCTAGATGGCACAAAGAAAATAGAGATTGAAAGGAACCAAATTCAAGCAATAAACCCAAGACTGCAAAAGGAAGGATACAATATGGAGTTAAATATTTTATAGCATTTAAGGTGAAAATGTTGCCTCAAAAGATTTCCCCAAATTATTGTGTATTAAATATTTTTTATAAATCCTCATTTTTGTAATATAAACTAGGGGCATGAGGTACACCACACTGCAGAGACCCAAGAAATAAACAACTCCTTTCAAGGAGTTTTAGGGCAATAGATGTTAATCCTATGTTGTCCATGAATTGAGGAGAAAGGACAGAAGAAACAACATTACAGGAATTGAAATACAGAGAGATCTGAAAGCATCTGGCTCAGTGTCAAGGACACACCTGAGACAGCCGAGTGTCTCAGGAGAAGTCAGCTCTCATCTTGAATGTACATCACAGACTGTTCAAATAATAATAATTAAGTGAAAACATTCTAACCAGCCAAAAAGGAGCTTACTGGCCAACACTGTGTTGTTGAGACAAACATATCACTAACTCGGAAGTATAACCAATGTTGTCACTTCACCTTTCTAAGCAAATTCCTTTCTTACCACACTCACAGCTCACAATGTCTGATTATATTTAAACTGTGAACTAGCAGTTAATCTTATTAACAACGTTCTGCCTCATCCACTTCAACATACTGTTTCATAATCTAAGAGCTCTGAGTCTTGATATTTTATTGAGAATAAACATTTGTCTAACTTTGCCTTTGAAAATCTGGCAATGGTGCAGAAACGCTCAACTCCGTGTTTGTTCTTTGCTATGCTTCTCTGCTCTAAAGCAGGTGTCTTCTATATCATAACCCCAACTGTTTATATTACTAAAATAAGAATTTATAAAAATATTTAAATACATTAATATATGCTGGAACTGTGCCTGATCTTAATAACTACCACAGAAACTCAAAGTATATTGTCAAGTGGGTCAGAATTCTATTCAACAAACACTACGTTCTGCTTTAAACAGGAATGCCAACACATGTTAAGTACAGTAGAGTGAGTTTATTTTCTAAGAACAAATTCTCGTCTTCAATAGTAATATACCCTTCCTACAGATCGTTCTGTGACTTTTTGTGTTTCTGATTGGAATGCTATTTCATAAATGGTAAACTTCTTTACCTATTTGTGAGGCACTTTTATGTCTATTAATTACAGTGCACACTCCTTTTTGACATCTAATCTGTTGCTCTCTACAGTGACTTTGTTTAAATGATTGACAGGGTGACAATGAAAGTCTTTAAATATTCAACAATATTTAAATATTCACATATTAGATGGAGAGGATAAGACTTGAAGAAACTTGAGGCCACTAAAGGGTTTATTTAATGTAAATAAATAAAGATCAAAGATAGACTCTGACACAAAGATAGACACAGTTTCCAAACACTGTGCAAGCTACAAAACTGTGGACAACTTTTGGTGTATCCGCCCAGCACAAAACCTCTTCTTTGGAACAGTCCTCTATCCTACTCTCAGGAAAGGGTCTCCAGAGCCAAGTTCATGCTATCTCACCCCACCTCTTTTGAACATAAATGATTAGATCACGGCAAACATATGACTTCGGAGGAGCCAATCTACAAGCAGGGCTGAGCCCATCAGAATTTCTCTCCTGGGGACTCAGAAAAAAGAGAGTTGGACACTGGTCAGTTGAGTGGCATACCACTCAAGGTGGTATGACCTAGGGTTGAGACAGCCATTTTCAGCTACGTGCATGGGAACGCAGAAAAAGTCACAGTGCAGAAAAAGAAAAAACAGTGCAATCACATTAGAATGTGAAGTAAACTGGCTCTCATTCACAGAGAGATGAAGAATATAGCTTCTAGTTCTTCACTTCCAGTTCCCAATTACCATATCTTGTGAATGAGGACAAATTTTATGGATTATTCACTGGATTCACTTGATTCCTTATAAACTCCCTTTCCTGAAGCCCACGGATTTCTCATACCAAAGAATTCCTATTACCAAAAGACCCCTGTCTAAGAAATACAGCATATTATACTTGATTATTATTGGCTTTTAACACATGAAACCATAAATTAATACTAATTAATGGATATAATTATGCATATTGTCTTTCCAAGCTGACTATAAGCCTTTTCAGGAAAACAATAAAGTCATGTATTAAACCTATTTATAACTTCGTTTTCTAGCATGAGATCCTTCACAGAGTAGACATTCAATAATAGATGATGACATAAGATGTTTATTTAGTAGCTGTGAAAACTACTTTTAGACTTTAACATGTTTCGCAGTATACCAGCTTATCCACCTAGTTCTCAATTTTCTATTTCCATGAGGTTAGGCTTTGTTAAAAATAACAGAAAATCACAAATGCAGGAAGATACTCATTATCATGCTATATCTGCTTATGTTTTAAATTAGGGGCTTGATTTTTGTGGGTTTGGGTATGGGTGTGTGTATCTGTTGGTCTATCTGAAGAAGGTCTTAGTTCAATGTAGACCCCAATCATGGGGACCTATTGTGAGGGAGGAAGCCACATCAACATGCCAATCTAGAAGGGGTCATTGACAAAGAGACCCAAGATCTAGCTCAGTGATTACAAGGAGACATAAGTACCTCAGTGACTCAACTCGTATTTATAACATGTTAATTCAAAACACATATGTTCACTAGAAAGTTCAGAATCATTCAGTCTCAAAAACTTTTCTCTTACTCTGTGGAAATCTTGGCTATGGTATCACAAGAACTGTACTCCACGCCTGTGAAGACTTCCTTGCACTGTGCTGTCCGGACACTGTTAAGCCAGTCACCTGTTGTATGGAAGGTAGAGATGTTGACGTTGCTTTGGTCCAGAAGAAGGTTTGATGGCCTGCAAGTAAAGAAAACACCAAAGCGAGAGAGACAGGAGTCAGCAGAGATGCTGCGTGTCAAAGTTTGACACCAACATCAGCAGGAACTTCCAGACTTCATGCGGCATTCCTGCGTATTTGTGGAATTTATCTGCCATGAAGGCTTCATCTGTTCACATTGGCAGCTTGCAAGAACACTGTGTAATCATCTTGTCTCAGAGCTCCTCTTCTCCATTCACGACTGCTTTTTAAATCACTGAAACTTTGCCAGTGAAATGCATAAATGCATAAATATATCCATACATACTTTTATAACTTAATTTGTTTAACCATTAGCAAAGATGGTGGTAATTTAGGATGCAATTATAGCAGACACAACACACTGAGTATTTTGTTGTCTGCTTTTGTGGTGGACTTGGTTTCCAATACTAAATCCTGCACACTGGATGTTCATTTGTAGGTACTGTACAGGCTGCTGTCTACAGGACAGTTTAACAACCTAGACTATACTTAAAGCAGGACACACAGTCAGCACAGATTTAAATCAGGTCACAAATGTCATTAAAAATATAAATTACAAGAGCAATAGAAAAAATTAAATGAGAAACAATAAATGAATACTTGTATATGTGACAACATCAAACGGAGTTCATGATAAATATAGAGACAGATGATAGATGTTGTGACTGTGATTTATATTGCACAATACAATCAGCAGTAAGAGGAACTTGTAGGATTATTTTATATAATTACAGGCATGACTGCAGATCTATGACCAACCACAAGATCTGGTGCGTCACAGGAACAGAAGAAACAGAAAAGAAAAGAGGAAAAGGGAAAGAAAAAAAGAAAAGAAAGGGGAAGACCATGTTTTCCTCGCTGAAGAGCCCCAAGAAGCAGCCGTTGGTGAACTGCTCTCGGGGTGTTTGTGGCAGCGCGCAGTGACCTCTGTGTTTATAAGTTTGGGCCCCTTGTAAGACTGGGACCAGTCACCAGGAGGACAATTGATTGCTCTCTCTCTTTATTCTTTCCTCTTAAGGAAGGGAGCTTGAGCAAAAAGCAGTTACAAAGCCCTTTGTTTTGAGATCAATGATAATAATAACAGCAGCAATAAGGACCATACTGAACATTTATGAGCACTTACAGTGTGTCAGGGACTACACTAAGCACATCACACAGAGGTGAGGACTTGAATCCTTACAGCATAAGCTGGGCACTGACGCTCTGCCCCTGTAACAGGTGTGCAAGCTGAAACTAAAAGAGACTAAGTTACAAATCTGAGTTCCTTCAGGCAAAAGAGAGACAGAAAGACAGACAGACGGAGCTGGGATTTAGACACAAGTTATTTTATACCAAAGCCCACACTCTTGGTCACTATGTGATAGATACCATTCAGGTGAAATTTTGTTCATATTGCATTTCCCCTGTTTTCTCCTGAAGTATTTATGATTCCAGGATGTGGCCTCTTTGATTTTTATATTCCGTAAAGTCTAGTGGTTTAGTGCTCACATGCTAGAACCATAAGGCCTGGGCTGAATCCTGGGTAGAGCACCTCTTGTCTGTGTGACCTTGAGTGATTTTCTCATCTTGTCAGCTTCCTCATCTATAAAACGGGAACGATGGTGATAACACAGATTTCACACAAATGAAGATTAAATGAGCATACGCAGGTAGCTCTTAAAGCAGTGCTGACACTAACAAGCTGTCAGTCAGCAATTTGTTATTCTGACCCAAGGTAACACACCTAGCAAAATCGTTGAAGGCCTTAAAATTTCAAAAAGAAAATAACATAGTAAATTCCAGTTTATACAAATTGCTAGGAATGTGATAATCTTGTTAATTCCCTTTTGAGCAACTAGAAGTTTAGTTACGTATGATATTATATGCATAAATAGGGCAACAATCTTGTGAAACAGGTATTATTTGGGGCCTCATTAGAATAGTCAATAACATCTACAAGCTCACAACACTCCTAAATGGATATGCTATTCCACCTTCTGCAGTTTCTGTTTTCATTACTGCAGTAAAATATATTCTTCACATTAAAAGTGTATATGTCATAACCTAAACTTTATTTTACAGTTGAGAAAGTACATTTGGATTTTTACCTCTTCAGAGTTATCATTCAAATCTTTCACGTTTTGTGATACTGCAGATGGGTTTAATCAGCGCTGAGCTCTTGAAACTTTTTAAAATTATTATTTTTTAAATCCCAATATTAGGGTTTTTTAAACTACAACTTCACATTTTTTTATATATTGAAAGTTAATAATTTGCCTAAACGAAATCCATCATTTGAAGTGCTTAAATTCGACATTTAGAATTAGTTGTCAGAAGATACCAAAATAAAGGAATAACATATTGACATGCATTTATCCTTATTTTAGAAATGAGTTTAGCTCTCTCAGGCACCAATTCCAGTAATGAATAATACTGGAATATTAAAAATAGCATGAAATAACAGTAAAATGAACCATCCAGATAAAATTAAACTGCATAGTGTTTTACCTATAAATACCAACCACTGATTATTATCCAGGGTGTGTGGCAAAAGTTCATGTTCTCTCGGCAAAATCTCTCGTGAAGAAAATCCATAAATGAGCCAACTCTACCCATAGGTAAACAGGATTTTTAATTGGGGATGGGGTATTTCTACTACTGTTCATGATATTTCCCCAACTCACTCCCTGATACACGAGAGACATGCTTAAGAGTGAAGTTAAAATTCTTAAAGCTGGGCAATTTGTATCAGACCCCAGACTTTCATGCTGTCGTTAGGGACACGGGAAAGAATGTAAGTTGACTCTTCATCTGGATTTTGATGGGGATACATTAAATTTATTTGATAAAAATAAAATTTTAATGCTGAGTTTAAGAAAAAAAATGGCAACATGAGATTTTGGTTCTGCCTGCACTCTCTTCCTCTGTGGGAAATGCACACCAACACCTAGCCCCCCGTGTGGCAGTCATGGTGGAGTGGAGGAAGGCTGAAAGTGGACTCCTCAACCTTCCTTCCATCAGACTCAACTCAACTACTTCAGTCTACTCTACCTCAAGTGTTTCAATCCTAAATTAAAATTCTGAAGTTTATAATTTGTATTTATGTGTTACGGTTTAGCTTTTTTCAACTAACCTCAGAGATTATCTTTAAAAAAAAAAGGAAGAAAGAAACAAAAATTAAGCATTATTTTGCAAAGCATTAATTTTCTTTCCTTTAGGAATACTTAGAAAACTACAAAATATCAATATAACATTTTATAAATCATTCTCTTCTGAACCATAAACACAACTAATTTTCTATGATTCTTTAAATTACTAATCTGGAAAAGAAAAAGAACAGTTTATTTTCATAATTGCAAATTTCTTGTTTTTGTTCTTTTCCTAAGAACTTGAGGAATTAAGGATACATATGTACAAACCAAGTTTCAAAACTTACATGCTATTCTTGGATTGTTTCAGCATGGCCATCATGAGTGAAAGAGCCTTTGTTCCTATTGAATACTATATGTATGTAACATTGGACCCGTTGGATAAGTCATGGAACCAGTAAATAAAATTGATAGGAATAGCATTAAATCAGGCATGAGAAAATTTTTTAATAAAAGTTAAGTGAGACCTAGAAATGAGACTATAAGATATTAAACTATCTACAAGCCTGTGCACGTGCGAGCGCAAATATCCACACACACAGACACACACCCAGGGCTTCAATTTCCACAGTAGCTGTAGCTTAGAATCTAATGTCGACTCTTAGTCCCACGAACAGCAATACTTTTTTATTTATGGGTTTGTGGGTATGAAGAATCAAACCCCAGGACATTTATTCAGAATATTTATGAAGTGTGCCTCATGCCAAAATGCAGAAGATTTTCTTCTCAATTCAAAATGGTTTGTATTTTTAAACTCAACAGTATAGCCAGACTCAACAGAAGTTTAGAGAAAATTAGTATAAACAAATTGAAATAGACCAGGACGTGTGGATTAGGGATTAGAGTGACCCCAACAGAGTTTTTCTGTTTATTACTTGGATCAAAGTCCAACGAAGACAAAGAATGACCTAATTTTAATGCCAGTGACCTTAGAACAACCAGTCCTGCAAAGTATCATTTTTCCACTTCCAGGATTTCTCCGGGGATTTCAAATAAATTTGGTTCCTTTCCTCCTCTGAGAGGACATCTGGAGAGTTTATCAATGGATAGGAATTTGTCTCTCACTGTGAAGAGCCTGTGATGTCTCTTCATGCGCACCAAGGGAATGCAGACTTGCTGAGCAGCTGTGGGCATTGGCGTCTTTTAGACCCAGCCCCAGACGTGGGTCTGAAGGGGAAATTTATAGGCTGGGTGATGCACACCGTGAGCTCACACTTTCGCTAGACAAATTAGATAGATTTCAATCCGTGCAGCTGTAAACGACGTCCTGCAGAGCTCCACCTGATCTGTTACAGCTTTTCATAAATCAGTACCTACAGGCCGCAGACCGCAGTCATTAAAAGGAAATCATGGAAATTACATGTTTGCTCGAGGGAAGCAAAAAATAACTTTCCTCCCTTTCTCTCTCCTGCCTTGTATGTAAGTTTGTGAATTATTCTTTTATGTATTTTCATACTGTTGCATTAAAGAGGTACACATATATTTCTTCCCATCAACTCCTATTTTATCTGTAAATGTTTTCATATCAATTAGCACCAGATACTGGGGAACAAATGTCAGCAACAACTGCCAGTCCCAAGAATATCTTCTCATAATGACCTTATTTCAATATTGCATTAGAATTCTAAATCTCCAGGATTGAATGTTAGGCTATCCTTTTAAAACATAAAAAAACCCCTTTTAGTTTACAAAGGGTTTTATTTTTCAGGTATTAAAAATAATGATTAATACACATTTCTTGAATGAATAAGTAGATGCCTACTGAGTCTAGAAGTAAATATCAATAATTTGGAGATGTGTGCTATACCACTATAATTATCTACTTTTTTGTCTGTTGTGAACAGTTTCAGGGAATATATTAATTCTTTAGA